TTAATGTTGTGTAATGGTCAGTCGTAGATTATCCCAAGGGCCCAACTGGCAATAGCCTAGGAACTCAAAGTTGGGGAGTCCCTAGACTATATTAATATTTATGATCTCTCGTAACGAAGGCACAATAATAAAAGTTAGCTTACTTGAAGATATCATGATGGAAAATATACTTAATAATAGCAAAAATATTAATAATAAACACTAGATATAGAGGGGAGGGCGGGGTACACATGTTATCATAGCCTAAGCCTAGGGCCCAATGTTAAACTGCACTGCCTTTCTTCTCCAATCCACAGAATTATTGCACGACTGTAAAATTAAACAGCTTTGCATACGACGGAGCTCGACCTCTATTCTGTTATAGGTACATGGTGTGAATTTTACGTGCATGTAATAACTACTTTGAAATTGCCCTAGCGTCGGTCATACGATTGCCGGAAGCAGCAACGAAAATGTGAATATCAGTTTATATTGTATCGTTTGTGCGATTCTACGTGACAACTGAGCGCTTGTTTTAGAAGCACTTCAACACGCGAGACCGATAAAAATCTAATTTCAGTTATGAAAATCCATTTAAAAGTAGGAAAACGATTCCCAACCGCGTTATATATTCACTATAGCTTGTACTCAACACTTGAAGAGTTTCCAATTTTAGTTTTAGGTAATATAGATTAGCTACGTTCGTGTATAATCGGATTGTGCAAAGTTCAAACCTGTAGCGTTCTCGCACATTTAATGGGAGAAATGTTCTCTTCAAAATAAAATCTAACCTCTAAAGGTATAAATTTAATATAAGATTTAATGGTTCTTGTTAATGTTTCACTTGTTGCTCGTTTGGTCAATAAATCGATATGCTTTAATATTTCGTATCGCAGCTGTCTGCTCTTGACTTCCCCTTAGTGGAAAGTCTGGTAGATTTCTGATACCCTATTGCATTAAGAGCATTTTACTTTTTATTTCCGTGTGAATATTTCCTGGTGTAGTATTATTATCAATAATTTTCACAATCAAGCTACGATCATGTATATTTTAAAAAGCTTTCCTTTGAAAATATCGGGTCATGGGGAGAGTTGCGCCTTCAAAATGGTGTCGTCACTATTGTGAGACAATTTCATGTTTCTACCATCACTCGGTCATTTGAACTGAAACAATAATCTGCTACCGCTTAGCAAAAAAATTAGGTGTATTAAAATATCTACCTACACTTGTAGATATTTTTCGCGTCTTCGTTTTTCTCAAAAATGCGACTCGATTTCGTTCTTCTAGGTATCGCCGCGAAGACGATTCGCTTGCAAATGCAAGGTTCGAATCCACAAGACAACTGGCGCAGATTTGGTGTCTGAGATTGCCCATGGAATCACTCGCCTACTCGCACAAATTCATATCTGCTGAGCGTTTAATGAAACATGTTGCATGCACCTTTTAATTCTGAACAACTTTAAACTCTACAGTTTTTTCTGTAAAATGTACAGGAGGGCAGGATATTGCATAAAACTAATTTCCCATGTTAAATCCTTATGTTCCTACTTACCGTGCACCACCCGGTATATATAATTCCTTTTACTACTACTTTCACTCGCTTTGGTAATTGTCTTTGAACTTTGCCATTACGTTTCTTTTTGTAATTCTTGTGCCCGTCTGATAATAGTTCTTCGAAGGATCTTTTTGTTTTCTGATGGTGTTAAATACATCTCCAGACATGACAATAACTAAGTAATTCAACTCCAAATCAAAGAAGCGGCCTCCGAGAATTTTATAGTCGGTCCGTGCAGATCGCAGATAGAGGATACAACAATTTTCTTCTTATGACACGCATCTAGAATTCCTAGTGCACAAAAAAATGAAGGTATTTATGAAGAACTCTTCTGGCGTTATCGTTTTGCTGCTTTCTGACGTGTTACCGTTTGTTGTTGATAGTCTCTTACATATTTGAACTAGCGTCTCGTAGTGTATTGATTTAATTACAAACTTATTGAATGCTCAAGCGCTAATTAGTTGTGTATACTTATGTAAAGGCGATTTAACCACCTGCTTGTAACTTTCCATCAAGGTGGTGTTTTTGAAAACCGAGAGCCAGTAGAATTTAGACTGGCGCCTAAAAATCCTTAATACGTTAACGTATTACAGTTTGCTTTGTTTTTGTTATACAGGATGCTAATGAAAATACACAATTGACTAGTTTAGCCACAACTAAATTTATCCAAACATGAGTAAGAACTATTTTAAAATGACCGGTGTAATGTATTGCATCTAATAAAGGCATTCACGCTTTATTAAATTCCTTGCTATTAGCGACTAACATAAATAACCTACTTTTGCAATAGCAGATAACTATCAATTGCGGTTTCACTCTATTAAACAACAATGACGTTAACAGATTGCCGCGAAAATATAGAAATGTTATTGTGCCAGCAATAATTACATACTTAATCAAGTGATATGTATACTGATTAGATGAAAATAGCTCCCTATTAATTATACGATTAAAGGAAAATCTGATTAAAAAAGCACGCAATTTCATTTTAAAGGAAGTTGGGTAAATAGCGAAGAAAAAAAATTAATTCGAGACCGAATGAATTCCGTATAGTAAAATTATCATAATGTAAAATCGTTTTAATGGGTTATTTGCTGGCCTGGTATAATCAACCAATATAAACCTACAGTGCACATAGCGTGCATTTCTGAGACTATTTTGCATAATGTTACCCTTGGGTAGACATCTCCGCTACACAAAGCGATTCTTTACTTTTTGCTCGCCCTTCGTTTACCTACTCCCCCGCTCCTCCCACGATTCTTTGTAGGGCAGTGTCTCTTAGTAGATTTTTGTATTTATTGGATGTGGTTCCGGAACGCTTCCGCTGTTTTGTCCCGAGATATAATGTATGGGCGTTACGGAAGGCGCTTCACGAGAATAAAACTTCTTAATTGTCATATTTATGGTAATTTTCAGCTTTGTGTAAGAATTTCCTTTACTCGACTTCAACAAAACGTATATACACCGGTTTGCATAAAAATCTACTTTAGAAACACCTTTTAGCGAAACGAATTATATTTCTTTTTCTACTAGCATTCTTTCGGTATGTTTAAGGGTTAAACCAAGCCAGACAACGGGTTACTTTAGAAAGCACGCGAAGATTATACACTGAAATAATATACCAGGCACTATTTCGTGATCTCAAATAATTTGTTACCGAGGAAAATATAAGAATCGCATTAGTTTTACATCTGGGACTACACACAAATTATAATATTATTTACATGAACTAATTCCTTCGTGTTAGTGTAGATATGACCAACATATTTATCATAGCAACACCTAGTTTTGGACACTAATTTATTCGTTTGTAGTATTTTCCGCGCAGTTTTTTTTAAATATTTCATCACCTACTGACATGAAAGTAGTGACACAGCAGTAAAACCGTGCCCCCTTGCTATTATTTCACCTGAAATTATAATTAGTATTGGTTAATCTGCTGGTCATCATGACTATAGAAGTCCCTCCCATTTAAGAGATATTTACCCCGAGGGGTCAACTGCTAATGAAAATGAAAGATCTTAAAAAAATCCTGTTTAGGAAGTCTTCCTCTGCCTAGAATCCGATTATTTGAACTCCGTTTTTTGATTTTTAATCATGTAAATTGTTATCGAAACAAAATCAATTTTTTTAAATTAAATAATAGTTCTAATATAAGTCGAGAAATGGTAGGCATTTTTTTAGAAATATTAGAACTCTTCAAAAACGTGTAAGAAATCAGTCTTAGGTTTCTGAAGTCTTAAAAATTTCATTAGTTTTTCTAGGATCTTGTCTTACATATCCTTAATTTTTTGTTAAATTACTTGGAAACCTTTTTGGAATATTATTTCTTAACTCGCTAGAAATTTTAGAAAAATCGTTTTAGCACCCTTGCTAGGAGATTATGACCATAATACTTTCGGCTAAACCAGAAAGCATTCTTAAAAGAAAATTTCCTTTGTGATCTTCATTGATGTATTGGATATCGGGGATAATGATAAGAAATCTTTCCCGAAAACTTGACAAATAGAATATTTGCTGTATCTGATATACCTGAGCATGTCATTTCGTCGTAGGCTGGCCATGGTAATATTTCCAGAAATACCCCCAAAAGGTCTTTATGGAAAACATATGAGGGATTTTTTTTATTTAGCAACTTTAACCTAACATGGAAACATTTAGTCTTCTAGGAATTTTACAAGAAATCCTTTTAGGTACTTTCTGCCAAATTTTCTCCTATACATTTTCGAAATATATCTGGAAATTTTACCAGCTTCTTTTGCTGTCATTAGGTGTGAAATTTTTTTAAAATATATCTAAACATAGTTCACTCATATGCATCGCCATTATCCAGGGTACCAAATATTTATTAACTTTCAATGATTCATTTTTGCTCGGAAAGGATAACGTGTTTTCTACATTTATACATGTCCAGCCCGCGGAGCTTGCTATACTTGTATAAGTAATGGCTTAACATTGGTGAGCATTATATAATCAGATAAATCCTCTCTGTGCGAATTCATTCTATGCAGAATATGAATAAGGGTTTAAAAAAATAAAACGGAATACTCTCCAAGTCGTATCCGCCGCCTTTAAACTTTTCAATACATTTTATGTTTATTTAAATTTAATATCAGCCTTTCTACGGCAATCTACGTAGCTGAAACCTGGTTTACATAGCGTTTAACTCAAATCTCGCAAACAAAAACAGCGGGGCTGCAAAAACTTAAAATAAACCGAAGTTTTTACAACTAAAAATGGCCGCGGAACACTCCTTATAGAAAAAGTAGCACTAGTTCCGTTTGTACACACGCCGAAAATGAGAATTGTTGATTACTGAACTGAAAGGAAATTAAACAATGTTCGCCCACGCCTTTTTGCTACTCCTTTTTTGCCGTTACACTTTCAACTACAACTTTCTAAGATTGATGATGTTCGTAAAACACCAGTTAGTTACAAGCATCGATTAGAAAGAAATTAAACTAACCTGATATCCCGTCATAAGTCCACCATTCTTCCCAACTGACTGCCGACGTACCTGTAAGAAAAATATGCTTTTTAGATTGATCGCTGACAATAATTGATGTATTATGACTTTTCGATGTAACACGCCGCCCCCAATCTAGATCCATTTGTGAGTGTTTTGATTTGAATCAAAATGCAAATACGATTTCGCGGACTTTAATTATAAATCGAACAATAGATAACGTCGAAAAGTAGTCGATGAAATAATAAGCGTTGTCATTGCAGCAAAATGGGATGCAATAACATCGCGATGCATTTAAAATTTATTGCTGCAATCACAACAAACACAATTAATGTATACGGATATATACATCAGCGGTGCAAGAATAATTACGTCTAATTTAGAGTGTTGTAACAAGGCGTAGTTTTATTTTAATTTTGAAACTTCGCCGTATTAGACAAGATCAGAAGTTCTAAGCGTAAACGTATTAAAATTGTTCAGCTGTTTTCGCCATGAAAGTTGTTTTCTTAAGGTAAGTTAAACGTAAAGCTTCCACGCATATCACCCGGAGATGCTTTTTCATGTTTTTTATAGCACGTTCTTTGCGTATACAGTTATTATAGCACAGATTACTATGGTTATAGTAAGACATGGTAAAACTGAATCGACATTCATATCTTCTTCGACGTTTCCCAAAGAAGCAATTAATAATTTCTTTTAAATCAGAACATCTTTGATCTAAGAAAATGTCTATGACATATAGGTATACTAAATAATTGCCTTGCAACTTCAAATTCGCAAATGTGTAGTTGAATTTCAAATATGAAAGTGCAGTCAGAGTAAAGTTGGTGAACCAATTTTATTTATCACTGGGAGATACTTTAATGTTCGCTTTTAAACAATAAACAGTTTGGTAAACTTCTACATTAACAATTATAGGTTTTCAGGAAAACTAGCTATGTACAGCAGTAACTCAAAATTTAATATTTATGAGAATTTAAAACCAATATCGTATTACCGCCACCTTGGAGCCATTTTAGAATTAAAATACGTCTGGCAACGAAGCAAGGAAAGCTTGGTTTAGGGTGTCCATATTCCAATTTTGCGAAAATAACGAACTTGTGTACACAAGGCTGTGTGGCAGTGGCCTTTAATTTGAATTTCTGTTTGTCAAGTTTTCCTTGCAGAACTAAGTAAAGCCGATTTTTTCAGATTGTATAAATAGCACTGCTTTAAAAAAGTTAACGGAAAATATGTACATCAAGAAATGCCATTTTTCCCATAATTTTCAAATATGCTATGGCAGATGATGAAAGTGCACGTTAAGGGCGACAGACGCCCTTTATATTTTAAATTTTCCTCCAAATTGAACAAGAAGCGGCAGACGTCATAAGAAGGTTGCATTACACCACCCACGAGTGTCTGGAGACAATCCACAATAAAGGAACCGAAACCATGTCCTGAGGTGGGGTGCAATAGTAACCAGAATAATAGCACGGACATGGAATGCAGAATCAAATAAGTTATTCGAGCAGTCCTTAAAGGCGCCAAACAAAGCACTCCTCCTGCAGGAGTTAATGGCATTCCTTAAGAGAAGATTCCAATCATTAGAAGTGCTTCTAATGACCACAACATTGTCAACTTCAAATTATGCCGCTGCCATCATTATTATTATTATTATTATCTTTTAGAAATTCACACAAAGTTCTCTGCATTCCCAACTAATGACAATAGCCACAGCTACAACACTAGGAACGCAAAAAATCAGAGGATTCCATATTATAGACTTTGCAAATCCAAAAATAAGAGCCCCCGCATAGATTTGTATAATGTACTACCACTGGTTTTGAGGCATTTAAATTTCGTTAAGTTTAAAAATTGTATAAAAAATCATTCTTTAACGTATTGTTTTTACTCCATAGAGGAATACCTCAGTACACCCTATTGTTTATAATTTGTGATTCTAACTTGTCATATTTTTATTTTTAATATTGTTAATTTTGTATGAATTTCTCTGTCTGTTTGTACTTTGTTTATTGTATACTGCTTATTTTTGCTGAATTTGGACGTGTTCCAAGCATTTAATGTGATATTACGACTAAAATATACATTACATTATATTTCATCTTTATCTTTGTGGTTGCTAAGGAAAAAGTTGAAGAGCAAAACCCGATTTTTGGATTTTTAAGGGAGCAGCTCCCATATAAATCATTTTTAACCTTGGAAAACATGTTTATTTTCACCCTGCTACAACCAATTTTGTATGACAGCCTTAACTTATTGCTACACCCTGTGTATGTGTAACAATGTACAATAATTGCAACATTTCATTCATATGGGAATTGATAGGAACGTTGGTGATCCCTCTAAGATGCCGTAGGTTCCTAGCCGCCTCTTGACTTGCTCAACATGAACGTGTGTCTTAGATTAATATGGTTTTAGTTCAATCACAGTAGCGTCCAAGGTGTTAGTTCCCTGTTCCCACATGTTGTTAAAGCCTCTCATAAGTGAGAAAATAGATACTATGAACTCTTTGAACTTTTGAAGGAATTTTTGGGTTACAGTAATCAATTCAATTACATCAATTTTGGAAATTATTATTGATTTGAATTTAAATTATTGGAATTATTTGGATTCTTTCGCTTATTAGAGCTTGTCAACGGCCTTTTTCCCAATGTTTGGTGTCATTTTATAAAGGAATTAAATGTCTGTTACGAAAATGAAAAGGTAATTTGACACCACCCACACATTTTTGAAGTTTTTTCGAAAATATTCAGTGGTAGTGTTGGAATTTCGAAGCCCTCCACCTTGTTATGTAACCAGATTGTGGTATGAATATTACCAAAGCTTCATTAAGTAGACGATTGTTTGCTGTTCCTTTATATAACACGAAAAAGTGTTTGAATGCACATATAATAATAATATAATATTAATAATAGTATTTATTCCATAGACAAACAAGTTTGTGTGGAAGTTGTCAATAAATATCTTAATATTTTAAATTACATTGAATAGTATAGATAAAAAACAAATTACACATTACATAGCGACAAACAAGTTAAATTAACCAGTATAATATTCACTAATATCATAATGACATTTACTAGAAACTAGAAACAGAAATAATTTTACTTTAAAGGATATAAGCTGTACAGTTTATTCAAGGTGTGCTCAAAGATTAAAAGGCATCTTCTGTTTGGTTTAAATAAGTTGGAAACAGTTTTGCGAGCATAATAGTACATTATATATCAAGGTAGAGAAGTCCACTATTATTGCCTGAGCACCAAGATTACATCTCGAGGCGCTTGCGCCGAGGGGTGTAAGGTGCGATGGCAATAATAGACTTCTCTACCGTGGTATATATACTATTTTTTTCACTACTAGCACTTGAAATCCTCTAAATTAACATATTATATTGATAAGTTAACGGTTGGACAGAATTGTTTGTTTCTTAATTTAACATGTCAATCAAGTACGTGGAAGTACAAGTCAAACAGGCCGTATTTTGTTCTGTCATTGAGATTTTTCAAAGAGTAATTTCATTCGAATGTTTTCAAAATGTGATAATTTTAGGTATGTAATTTCTCTGGAAATTGCGAATGGTGGCAATTATTCGTTTTAGAGAACTTGTCTAAACGTTCATTGAGCGAAATTTCGGGTTGTGTTTTCTAAAAGTGACAGCATGACAGTTTTCATTATTGACTACTAGTTAATAATAAAAAATTATTAACCACTTTGAACAAATGCCGAGAAAGCCTACTTTACAAGTGGAAAAAAGGTTAATAATCATGTCATCAGACGCTAGTAGTGAAAAAAATAACTAATTCGACTATTGTACTCCCATTAAACGGTCGTAGTGGATGAGAAACTTTAAGGCAACGTTGTCTAACTGTCGGTTTACATTGCCTAATTGAGTCATAAGTAGCTTGATGAACCGAAAAATTTAATGAATCGTAGTCAGCACGCTTCGAAATAAATTTAATCGAGCTCTATAATCAAGCAAAGTTTTTATACTACTTTGAGCTTCTTCTGCAGGCCAATGCCGTTGGTATAATATGGATTAGGACTATAACCGTATTATCATTGAGCTGCTTATTCTCATATTAATTCGATATACTTAGATGCACAACCATCCTGCAGATTACTATTAATCCTCATATTAACCGTCTAACATTCCAATACTGTGTTCTCTATTAGGGCATTAAACAAATGTTTTCCCTTGTACAAACATAACAACGGTTGTGAAGAGAAATGAATAATACATTTTATCAAAGACAATGTTTATAGCTTTGTTTACAAATTATTTTGATAACTTACGGAGGGTTACTTCCGTATTTTGCCGCACTAGTTCAGAAGATGAAAAGGGATCCTATTAGGTTACGAAAAGTCAATTTGAGAAATGCAATAGATCAATAAATTGCAGTTTTCTTCGGTTAGGGACAAAAATAAATAAAACGAACTTCTTTTCCCACGGGGGAGAATGTTGCGACTTTCACAAGAAGTTATGTAACATTTTGTGTGGCTCTGGGGTCGGATATAATAAAGACGTGACGCGGAAATACTGCAGTCGCGGTTTATGTGAAAGAATGGGCTTTACAGGATGGGTAGTCAACCCCCTAAAGATTCAACTGAAAGTGTCAAGTAGTGTTGATTTTGGAAACTCCTATATTTCATCATTAAAGCGACGGTAAATAGAAAATAACGGGATCTTTCGCGAGACTGATTTACGCTACAAAGTTTCCAGATTTAATCCTGTCGGTTAATGAAAGGAAGATGGGATCGGATTCCTGCGCGATTCTCGTTCCCCATTAAATGCGGATATCGCATCGCCGACGATTGACTTCACGCAAAGTTTGTATACAGGGAAAAAAAGCGATTGAAGTTCGAGTAAGTAATAGAAACGAGATCGAATCAAAGGGACCTGAAATCGCATCGTTGGATTTTTACTTTTAAAGTTTAAGTATTCGCATATTACACCAGTTTGAGCATTCTTTTGTCATGATTGAAAGCGTTGTCCTAAAACACTGCACTTTGAAGTTACTCAATTAGTTGGCCGTCTCTTATATTTCAAG